CATAATATATAATAATATTATGATAAATGTATTTATATCTAAAAAGTTTAAAATGAAAATGCTCATATGAAATTAAAAATTAATAATCACAGAAATACAATAATATTAAATTACTATTTCGCGTTTATTCTTAGTTGAATAATTGCTTAACTTATTTAATTTTATCATAGCATACAGCACAGAAACGTATTTCAATTTATTTTAAATATCACTATCATAAAGTTTAATTTAAAATTTATACCAGTTTCGTAGATGGAACCTTTGTATTATAAATATGAATTAAATGCGTTATTATCTGGTATTTTAAAAACAATACATATAATAGAGGTATAAGTTTTATTTTAGAATTAATTATCAGGTTATCATATTATCGAGAAACTGATTAATACGTCAAAAGTTCGAAACTATCATTTATGTGTCATTTTTTTTTTTTTTTTTTTACCGGTAGGCCACTATATAAACTATAAAGTATAAGTACTCAAACGAAATATAATTAATTATATTATTATATACTATATATGGTGCAGTAGAATGATATGGACGAAGTTAAATTTACTACAGTTATAATTTCAATTCCAATATTTCATATTACCTATACTACAACTTTATTATTACGATACTTAAATATGACATAGTTGAATTATTGTAAGAAATTTAATTACTATCAACTGAATAAAACAAAAGGTATGATTGTATTGTATTTTCTTATTTTTAAGGCAATAAAACACGATTTAGTTATTTTGTACATAATGTTATGATAATGAAAGAAAAAAAAAATTTTTTTTGATTCTTATCCAATTAAAGTTAATAGCAAAGCCAATCCTTTGAAAGTAATTCAGAAAATCTACCCAACCATTTAACAAATTATAGTATACTACATTCACAATATCAGCTATTTTTCGCATCAACTCACACAATAATATTAAACTAAGCTGATCTACTATTAAATTACGAGTATTTATTTAAAAATAGACAAAAAAAAGAAAATTAATTTAATTTTTGTGATTTTAAAACCTTTTATTTTACATATTTCTATTTCAATTACGTATTTATAATACCTAATAAGTACTATTTAATTCGTAGGATTTAATAAAAATGGCTATATTTTTAGTTCATAATTTGATGATGCCAGGAAATAGAGTTACTACGTTAAACATACTATATATTTCAAGGCTCAAGTAATATTTATTTTAAATATTACGAACCTCTCATACATAATACTTTAATAGTCAAAAAATTCAACATCTCAATATATTGTCATGAGTTATGACTCATAAAATTTTTTTCTGTGCAAACCAAATAATGCCGTTTGGATATACATTTTTATATTATATTCAACTTAGATTATGGCTCAGCTTTTTTTCTATCTTTTAACTTATTATACGAAGTTGTTACATAAATAAGACTTTACCAAATTTAATAAAATATTTTTGACAATTTATCATCGATGACGATCCTGGTAACTATAATAAAGAAGCCTTGATTCAAGATAAGTTAAATCTCTTTGCTAACTCACATCAAGCATACAAAAAAAAAACCAATCTATTTTTTTCAGTATTATTTAAAATGCATTTATTTTTCCATATTCCATATTGATACTCACGTATATATCTGTATATTCATTAATGTACTTTAAATTCTACACGCCACATTGTCATTATTTTTGTTTTTGATGCTTTGGCAGTTTTTTTTTTATCATGAACATATTATACGTATTATACAAAACTAGTTGTTATATTCATGTCAGCAAATAAAATTTAATTATTTTATACTCATTATGGTGTATTTTATATCTTCTACTAAAACTTTAGACATGAAATCGTATATTACTTCTCACATCTTGATCTAAAAATATATTAAATTTGATATAACTATCTTAATAAAAATTAATACGGTTGTCTTAAATTTATAGGTAACCTTTTTATCATCATTATATCATATATAACATTTCACTTATTGTCTTATTATATTTTTAAATTAATAAAATTTTAAATGCATCAAAACCTGTGAGTTCTATCGTCGTCCCTTCAGTAGAACAATGTGACTAAACAGTGGGCTTACATGTTATTGATCAAGTGTTTGTCTTGGTCAAAAAATGTGTATAGTAAACTTTTAAAACAGCTAAACGCCATAGTTATTATCGTTATATGTAGTAGAAAATTGTTTAAATGTTATTATTTAAAAACATATGTGTGCATTATTTATGTTTATTGGACAGGTATCAATATAAACACTAAATCCACAGTTGATCCTTTGTGATTATACGCAATCATTAAAGTCCGTTGTGATTTATATAGTATTGATTATGATTTCAGTCATATTAATTTTCATTTGATAAGATAAGTTCTATATTATCTATTTGTATATTATTTTATTATTAAAACATACATCTCTCATTCATGTACATAAAAATGAATATTTCTTTCTTTCATTTTTTTTTTTATTTATTTTTTTTTTTTTTTTTATATAGAAACTATTGGACCGTTTTCAATAGAAATTATTTCAAAAGATTCCTTAAAAATTGAGAAAGATTTGTAACTCAATTTATCAACTTTTATAGATTACCATAAAGTAACTTATATACTATGAAATTTCTTTCAGGTCACGAAAATCAAATATTTATTTGCTTATAGTATATAGAAGTGATATTGGTTAAAGATAATAAAATAGTCGTTATGATTAAATATAACTTTCTAGATTTATATATGAAACACGAAAAACAAACCAGTAGTTTAGTATGCTTAAATATAAAATATATATTAAATTACCTAGCAATCGAACGTAACATATCCATATTTTAACGCTTTTTCGGAAAGTGGTACACTTTTTGTTAGTCATTATTTAATTAACTATGTCTGTGATTTCGTGTAAGTCTTATATAGGATATTAAATGTTTAATTTATATTATAAACAAAACTCAAATTATAAAAACTTTAAAATTAAATATAATTGATCAATCAATACATCAAGTTTAAAATAGAAGTCATTACAAACTTTAGAATCAGATGAGTAATAGGGAGTGTTCGGTACCAAATTCCAAAGGATGACCGCATACACACATCTCGGTCAAGGGTCTTCGCCGATAAGACAGAAACGTCTAGACGAACCCTGCCTCCCCCCCCCCCCCGTCGTTGTATAGCTCAAACCGGCTACCGCCTCGAATAAAGGCATAGTTTTTAATATTTTACAGTCTTCTCCAGCTCATCGTCGTCATCGTATGACCGTTAGTTTTTTTACACGCGTCGCGTCGCCATTTTTGTCATCGGTGGCACATGGTTTCAATGCGAGTGTATGTCTTAATGTATTAAGATATTTTTTGTGTCGATTGTTTGCATACGGGTGCATTAAATTATTTTATATCGCGTTCGGGTGCGAATTTATTGGTGCGCGGGCACATACAGGATCATTGAGATCCATTGTCGGTGCGTCGGGCACTCGACCTGTATTTTGGTCATTTTCAGATGTTAAATATTATATTTGCAGTTCGATCTTTACCGTATGGGTCACGGAAGCTGAACTATACATGTACGGTAATGCGCTATCAAAAAAATAGGTGATACGCGATATTTTTTATTATTAATTTGTATTATTATACTATTTTTGTATGTATATCCGAGTTGGCTTGTAAGTTTTGGTCAAATATTAAAATATGTATTATATAGTAGGTGGGCGTCTACATCCCGGTAATAATTATATTTTAATATATAGCTATTAAATGAATGTATTATTTTATTATTAATTATTTATAAATTATAATGTGTGTGGTGTGCTGTAAAATTATATTTGAATACAGTCCATTATTATTATGATATACAAAATCTGAGTTTTATTATTTTATTTTATTATTATTGGCATTTGTTAATTAAGTATTACAGTTCACACACTACAGGGAGTTTAATGAAATCGTATATAGTTGTTTTATAAATAAATCATTAACTTTTATTATATAACATTAAATAAAAATATTACAGATATACATCATAAAATCACAATAGGAAATTAGTACAAAAACATAAATATATTTAAATATATAATAACCAATATGACTATGGATTGCAGCTCCTTCTGGTTAGGTATATATGGGAATATACATGCACGAATATCCTATCTTGACAAGTACTCAAACGTATTGCACCCCGTAGGAGGTCGTTTACGGTAACCATCTATTAGTGACTATTCATAGGTTTAACCAGTCAACTAATGGGATTTGAGAGGTTTTTAAACGGTCACTCATCAAGGTATTTTTGTATTTTATTATATTCATCATTTTATATAAGAAAATTATTAATTATATGAAAAATAAGACTATAAGAGTATATGTTATACATAACGAATAATAGGTAAAAATGATTTGGTATTGAATTAACAAGAGTAGTTTCTTATATTTAAATATTAAATGTATTGTTTAAAGAAATATTATGATGAAGTTAATTATTAAAAGTGGTAATTACAAAATGAGGTAGTGGAGAAGCGCGCTCTATGGGGCATATTATAGTTACAAAGGAACAGAAATGATTAGATGTATAGCATAGAGGGCGAAATAGTCGGAGTAACGGTGTATCGTTACAGGAGTAAGATTGAAAACCATCTGAGTACGTATAATTTGATCCAGGTGAACTGCAGTATTTTAATTTTGAACAGATTCAATATAATTATCCTGATTGTTTTTCGAACTTTTAAATTTTCGTATAAATGTTAACATAAAACAAAATTTAATACTTAATAAGTTATACTTTAACTAATGTATTTTAAGAAATTTAATGTAATATATATATATATATATATATATGAGCTAGAATTTAAAATTTAAAAGAAAAAATAAAAAGTTTATTATGTAGCAGCCGTGAAAATTTTCTTAAATTTTTATAATCATAATATTTAATTGGAAATTTAAATAGGAAGTAAATTGTTCCTATAAATTATGCTTTAGTGGGAAAAAAATGAAAATATTAAACGTAGTTTTCAAATGTAAAGCAAAAAAATGCGGTTTTAATTAAATAAGTTTATTTTTAAAAATTAATTCATAACAATATTATTTATTTCGGATGTTTTATCTTTATTATTAATCGGTAGTAAAGTTGATAATATCTTGTGAATTATTACTTATGGTAGTTATATCCCACTGATCTCGTATAGATGATGGTAATCGATTCCAAACTTCTAATGTAGTTTCAATGTTTGATCCTCCCTCAGTTTCGCATTTCATTGAATCGATTCCAATATCTGTACATTGAATATTATCTTGAATATTTTCCTTAATCCACATCAAAAATTCCTGTGTAGACTTAGAACTATTTTCCAAAAGGCCCACATATTCATCGCTATCAACCATAGATAAATTGATAGGTTTCTTTATCGTTGTACCATCTTCAGCCTTAAACAATCAATCATTGGTAAAAATGAATTAAAAAATATTATTAAACAGAGTAGTTTAACTGCCAGTGAATATACGATGCTGAACATTATATTTCTAGCAGTTACAGTAAAATGATTCTTGAAATTTAAAAATTAAAAATAACATATCGAATGTACATCGATAATAATTCATGATAAAAAAATGTTTGTATTAAAAGATGTTCACTTAATGACTTTATGGTATGATAAGCCATAAAATAATTTTACAATTACTTATTCATACTCTATAATAAAATCTATGAAAATTATTTGTATAAAAAAAAAGTAATTAAACAATTTAAAATACTTACTTTACACAAACTGAATGATATTAATAATACAAAAAACCATGTTATACCCATTTTAGACATAGTTATGACTTATACTTAATTCTCAATATTCATAAAATACTGTAACTGTCGAAAGTTAAATGCACTACTTACTGTTTTAGTATTTACACTAATACTTCTCTGTAGTTTATTTAAATATTATTCAACGCCTACTATTTTATACAGGTTTTTTTTATAAACATGGCTACTATACTATTATTCTAAGCAATTATATATATAATTTATATATTATTATTATATGAAAACACATGTGTGCCACATTTGTATTTGTTTGATAATTAACAATATAAACTTTACATTAATAGTTAGTACGTTGTAATTAGGCTACCATACACTTGTAAACATTTTAAGAAGTATACAATTATCGTTATTTTGCATTGTATTTATTTTCATTATTTAGATGAGGTATTTAAGTTCTATGCAACTGATTGTTATATTATTGTATTGCTGAAATTATTCATAGTAATTATTATGTTTTTTAAAACTATTTTTAGTAAAAATGTATCAAACTTAATGAAAGATCCAAATAAAATACTATATTATATTAAATAATAAGGTAACCAAAGTATTTCAACTTGTAATATAATGTGTCTATTAATATTTTCGAGTAATTATATTCCTGTCTATTTCATATTAGTATCTGAATACGAAGTATTAAATAGAAAAAATGCCAGTTATCAATAAATTGATATAACTCATGTCGACTTTGAAAAGATAAGAAACTATGCGTGCTGGAATAAAAGTGTAGAACAGTATAAATTTAAATATTCTATTTTAATACATACAAAAACTTTCTCTAGTGAATATTGAGATAGTTTAAAGCGTATAAATTTTAATTTATAGTTAATCTTATATTTTTAAACATAGATGTAACCTAACCTAAAGCTGTATAGAAATAATTCATTGTAAATTATTAATTGTTTTTCTAAACTATCACATTTATTAATTGGATAATGTTCTAACATTTACAATTTGCAATAAACTATCACTGATAAATATTGAAGAAATGTTTATCTAGCTCCATAAATGTTAAAACCAAATTTTAGGTAATTATAATACTAATTTATAAATGATTTTTTTCTTTTCATTTTTTTTTTTTATTAAATTTACTATGCCACCCAGTTTTCCTTCAATTTTGGTAGTATATGTCGACGGTAAGTCATCAAAGAAATGATTTTATTGACACAAATGTCTTTCCAGATCGGCCAATGACGGTTTTTCTATTTTTCTTGGTTTGCCACCACAAAAGTTGCATAGACACAGTAGGTATATGCTGTATAATGTGACATCGTTCGTGTTGTATACAATAACGCATCGGTGCGGTTGAAATATTATACAATTGTTCTATTACTGTCACGACCGATGATTTAAAGATCGAATTAAAATCGTCATTTCAGTTCACGTGCGCTACAAACCGCGATTTCTGGAGACATTCACGAGCAAAGTAATATTGTATTATTATGTACCGAGTATAATATATTATTATTGGTACGTTACAATGCACGTGTAGCTACAGTAAATTACGATGGCATCGCTGGATGAATATTCAATAATAAAAAAAATAAAACTCAATTGCAAATTCATTCAGTCACTGGTCGTGTATAATACATTATATAATTGCGACGCTGCGGTGATGATTTGCTGCAGCGTTTGCATTTTAGATGGCACGGTGTGACGATCGAACTGTTTTCCAATGCTTTTTCTCCTCGAAATTACACCAGCGTATGTCTCGTTTACCTTTAAACTCTTAAATTATGTATACACTGAACAAACGAACTGTATTTTTCAATTGCAAGAAATGTCTCGAAAATAGAAACTAAATTATACACAGTGATTCAAATTGATAGTGACAAATTTACTTTTCGACAAATTCTATTTTTAAACGTAAATAACTCATGACTGTACAGTTTAAAACTTCGTTAATACGTTGTTCAATTTTTGGAAACAGTCAGAGATTTAAATACATTTTAATATCGGATAAACTGTAAATAAGTTTAATTTGAAAAAAAAAACAGCGTAATAATGATATATATTTTCACTAATATTTAATGTAAATTATAAAAATGTATATAAAAAAAATAAATTAAACATATATTTTTTCAAATCATCTCTTAATTACTTAAATTATTCTGAGCAATATAATGATACAGCGCATGAATATCAATAGTTTAACTTAAAAATAAAATATCAACCTTAACGAAAGTGTAAAATACACATTCAAAGCCTGAAAAAGTCGAGTGAAAATATTCAGTCTCGGCTTGTGGCCGGCAAACAGAATTTACCTGGTTGGAACGTAAATAAACGAGTGATCGTCTAAAACAGCAGGATTTTCCTTCAATTAAAGATTGCACTCATGTCGTCATCTCCTTGCACCCACCGCTTATAAAGCGGAAAACACTACTCTGTTATAACATGCAAGGTTTTATCACCGTGAGTGTCGCCTTCAAGTGTCCGTGTTTTTTTAAATTATTTTTTTTTTCCACACAAATAAATATTATTTGATGATGTATCAGCCACAAACTAGCAACTGACTGGATACCTCACTGAAAGGATAATGCCTGGTTGCACCAAACTAGTCGTTATCTATCGGTGAAATATTTTTCCTCGTGTTAAATTTTAATCTAATGATAAATTAACATTTGTTAAATTTAAGAGTGTTGTACAACCATTGTTTTATATTTAGGTTATTACCAAAATACTAGTTAACAAATAAATGGTACCTGCAATACAAGTTGATATTATCATCATAATCATATCATCAGGTCTTATCAATATTAAATAATGACCACAAAACATTGATAGCGAAATTTAACCATACATAAAATTTTACACGGCGATAAATCATCTTCTAATTTAACCGGTGATAAAGTAAATTTTTAACGACAGATAACATTTAAAACATGGTTTATGCAACAGATTTTATTTTAACTTCAGTTAAACAAATTTATCTCTGTGTAAATATTTGGTGCAACCCGCCATTAGTGTAAAAAAATTTAAGAGAGAAATGGTTGCGTCGTTTACATCGATACTTCGTTTTTCAAGTGAGCAATCTTATTCAAAATATTACATCATAATTTACAGATTAAAACGATCGACAACTAATGCAAATTACTAAAACGTGATCGAAATAGCGATGAATTGAGTTATGTCAAATATAACTTTAATGACGTCGATTATGATTACGATTTTAATGGCGATAATCACATCTACAATCATCAAACAAATGAAGTAAAATAATCATGACAAAGAAACATTTGTTGAGTGGGATGTGCACAATTAGAGTACCTACCTAGTTATTATTTTTTTGGAGTGACTGTTCTTTTGAGCGTTTACGGTAATACATCAAATAATCTATGAAACCCATTGAATAACATCGTATTAAATCCGCTGTAAATAATTTAAAGTATATTTTTATATTTTTTTATATTATTATTGATTTATTAATCGCAATATTACCTAGTTAAAAAAGCAATTAGATTATAATAATTAATGCAAATATCTTCAAACCGATACCACTATTCCATAAACTGAGGTCACGACATGTGGTTTTGTTTGGATTACATGGGGTATTTATCTACACGTAAACGCGCACATGTGTATGTGTGTATACATAATAAATTTAGAATATATTTATATCATTATAATAGGTACACGTATAGTCTAATCTGTGTGATTGCAACCCACAGTGTTCGGTCAACATTATATTATTAAACAATATGTATATTGGTCACAATATATATTCACGGGTTAATAATACAGACATTATTAAAACAATAACTCAGATTAAATAATACTACACCCTTACGTCGTATAATGTTACAGAAAATAATAAAAAAATTAATTAATTAATAAAACAGTGAGAGTATCATAAGAATATACTTTACATTAATATTACTGAGCTGACACAAACCCGTTCTCTCTACAAACAACGTCTTATTGATAATAATTTATTAACCAAAACAATATTCCAATTATTATAATTATATTTTTTTAATTCTTTTTTATTTTGGATTTTAAGCGAAGAGTTGAATGTATTTGTTTAATGATATGTTTTTTTTTTTAATGTTACAATACATTTTTGATAAAATTAATTGATTTTTAATTTTGAAGAAATTGTATCTAACTTATATTTTAGAAATTTTTACTCCAAAATTCTTAATACATATCTTATAATCGAAAAAAAAATAAACAAAAAAATTAAGAAAAAAATGGGTATTTTTATGTTAAGCCCAATTTTGACTAAATTATTTTTTATTTGATTTTTTATTTTGTTATAATATAATTTTTTCTTAATAAATATAAAAAAAATCTATTACAAGCACAAGTTAATTTTTTATTAGAATTTTAAATTCAAATTTGTACGATATTGAATATAGATCCATACAAGTATAGTTATTTATTTTCAAAAAAATTTTGTTGTAATTTAAAAACGAATAACCGTATACATGAAATTTTCACATAATATTTAAATTATTATTTTCATTATATAATTCAATTTTAAATATTATTTTGATCTAATTATAAGCATGCTAAATTTTCATTTTAATTTTTTTTAAAGTTAAAATATTAAAATACTAAAAATATATAGGCCCAATATTTTTTTTATTTTATTTAAACTTATAATTATTTTAATTTTAGATTTTTCGTTTTATATTTAAGTTTTGACAATGTTTTACAAGATTTCTCACAGATAGTTCATACTGGAACAACAAAATCTAAAAAAATATAAATTTACAATAAAATAAAATTATGTTGTATAGACATTTACATTTCTATGTTTAAATTTGAATAAAATTACTTGTTTAAATAATAAATAACGATTTTGATCATCCAATTCATCCAAGAAAAGACAATATAATTCGAGTTTTAACTTAACGCACAGTAAACGGAATGTCCACTCGACGATGTTATCTTCATATCCATGAATATGATAGTGTTGAAAAATTCAATTTTTACCAAATCAATAATATGCTTGCATGAATACCAATTAATTAATATGCATCGTAGTTAACACCTATAGCATATTAAAATAATGAACAGCTGACTGAGTTAGGTTGTAGTAATTCAAACAGCACTAGTCGAGATTACTAGATGAATTCTATCAAACTATGTAATGCATGCAAAATGTGTAATTGTGTGTTAGTGTGT